AAAAAAAAAAAAAAATTCTACCTTTCAAGACCTACTAATATAATGCAATTTACAGCTAAAAAACTGAGGTCAAAATCAGTAAACAAATATTTTCAAGGTGAAAAACCCAGGGTGACAAACCTAGGCAGTGCTGATTAAAAAACAGATGTGTCTGACTTATGTTTCAAGTCAGGCCATTCAATCACTTGAGAGATTCTTCCATCCACTCCTGCTCACTTATGTAATCAAGACCCACACATTCAGGAGACACTGCACTATGCCCCAGTGACTGCCCCAGGGGCATTTTACTTCGAAAGTCCTTACACCATCTCACTGGAGTCACTTTTTGTTTGTTGGTTTGGCCTTTTGGGACACTATTTTTCTTTCATCATATTTATTTCATTATCTTTCTGCACCTTAGAGAATCCAGGGGGCAGAGATTATTTCTGTGTTTTCCCCTCAGTATCAGTATCTGATTGGCTGACCAGCAATGTGTGCTCAAGAAATAAAAGCTGGGTTTCGTGTAGACAATTTTAATGCCTCAGGGGTTACCTTTTCAAAAAAAAAAAGGAGTACACCAGAAGATTCCTCTCAGCCCCAGGACATCCACTTGCTCCTTTGAGAGGATACATTCCATACCTCAGGTCCTCCTATGGGAGAAAATAACCCAGAAGCTGATACTCCCTAGGCACTTTAGCTGACATAACCATGGTGGATATCTTGGTGTATCCCAGACAGTACTGAAACCCAGGACCAGAAAAAAACTAAAGGGTGGCTGAGGACACATCACCTCATAAAGATTCCAAAGGATAACCTTGACCCAAAACATTCTACCAAGATCTCTGTGCCTAGATGTATGGAGAAGAGGCACAGAGACTTTTTACAATACAGCATCAGCGGATTATTCTTCGCTTTCTTCTCATGGGTAATATTTACAAACAGATAACAAACCTTTTTAAAGCCATCATTTAATGCTTTGCAAAAAATAATTAAAATACGAAATAGAAAAGTACACTAAGAGACAAATAGCTGATACTGTAAATTAGGGAGGACAAGCTGGCATTTGGGAACGCCAGATGAAACTGGAAATTTAGTATCTAACTACAAGCCAGAGTGAGGCTGGAGAAAGGGAGGATAGAGGTTAGATTTATGATACAGCTTGGGACACAGGTGAAAAATGCAACAGAAAATCAGTTTCCCACGGAGTGTGAAAATAAAAGTCACAAGCAGTTAGAATGAGGTGTCTCTAGTCCCTGGATTCCTACTTTAAAAAAAATCTAACTGGGGTGCATGTTTTAGTGAATAACTGCATTAAGAGAAATAAACTTCAGCCTTAACCAACTACAAACTGCCAAGTAACCTGTGATTACATAATCAGGACATTTTCACCTTTATTGTACAAATGAAGAAACTACATAACTGTACCTAACCAATTACTGAATTTTGTTTTCTTCATCATGCAGTTTATAAAACTCTTTCCTTCAAGCTCCGTCTATGAACCACAAATCACAAACGACAGCTGGTTGCTCGAAAATTTTTGAATCACTCTTTGATTAAATTATTTAATGTTTTTAGGGTGACTCCCATACATTAACAGAAGAAATGAGGAACTGGGAACCCCACAGAGCAAAACTCTTCACACTCACGGAACCAGGATTCTCCCGGAGTCAGGATTCTCCCCTGAGTACCCTCTTGTGGTCCCTGCACAATCTGGAAGAGACGCGATGCTGCGGGTGCAGAGCTGCTCAGAGATGACTCCAGACCAGTGCACAGTCAGTGCACAGGGAAGAGACAGTACACTAGGAACGGCTGTAAGCACAGCCGCCATCTTACGGTTGAAGAGGACTGAGGCCGAGCTGGGCAAAGAGAACTCGGGGCACAGATTGTGGAGCTGACTGCAGGGAGGCCTGAGTCCTGCCACAGCCACTTCCCATCGGTTCCAACCAACCCCTTCCCTTCTCTCGGAATGTCGGACTGGCATGCTCACCATTTCTGAACTTCCAGGGGGTCCTGGCGTTGTAGCTGTGGATCGACCAATAGCTGCAGGTCACAGGGCCATAGAGGCTGGGCTTCTAGGAGCAGAAGACACAGAGAAGAGAAAACCAGATCGGGAGCTCCGGCTGCAGCAAGAGACAAAGGCCCCGCCACATCCCGGAAGCCTTCCTGTCTGCTCCAGCTGCGTGCCTGATTGGATGAGTCCCAGCCCAACGTTGCTGATTGGATAACGTTTAAAACCCCACCTTCTCAGGCCGTGAGTGACAGAAGATATCCGATTCTAGGCTGAGTGAAGAAAACTGACAGCCTCTGCTGCAGCCTTTTCAGGCAGGCGCTTTCTCCCTGAGCTGAGCCCGGCCCACCACAGAAAGTAGCCTTTAAACTTGTGTGTAAAGTCATATGCATTTTAAAATAACATTCTGTATGGCTATTCACAAATGAAAGGAATATAATAACAATTATTTTTAAATTTCAGCTTTTTTACCTTCCTGGCTTCTAGTCTTTGAGCAGCCAGGCTGAGGTTTTAGAAAGGAGGTAATCCTCTGAAATAAAATGAGAGCCACAGCCGGGCATGGTGGCTCACGCCTGTAATCCAGTCACTTTGGAGGCCAAGGCGGGCGGATCACCTGAGGTCCGGAGTTCAAGACCAGCCTGACCAACATGGTGAAATCCCGTCTTTAAAAAAAAAGAAAAAAAAAAAAAAATGAGAGCCACATGTGAATTTTAAATTTTCTAGTATCCAAACTTAAAAAAAAAAAAAGGATTACAGGACCCAGCCACTACACCTAGTCCAGATACAATAGTATTAACCAAAGCCAACTAAATTGACAGGATTTCTTTTGTAATTGAGATTGATGACAATCAGACTCACTGAGAGTGAAAAAAATGTGTTGACTATTATAAAATCATTGGATAGGTTATGCACCTGATGATAGAACCTCATGTATTAAGGTTGAATTGATTGTAACAATGTAGTCAACCCAATATGTCCATAATATTATCATTTTAACGTATGAGAAATATGTAATTATTAATAAAGTATATAAATATTTGCAACTAAATCTTTGAAACTAACTCTGTATTTTACTTTTCTAGCACATGGCAATTCAGACCAGCCACATTGCAGGCACCCGGGAGCCACATGTAGCCAAAAACTGCCACATTGAACTGCAGCTCTGATGTCAGGGGAGTGAAGGGTCAGAGAAAACCTTCTGCCAGAGGTGAAGGAAGAGCCTCTCCCTACCAACATCTCTCTTCAGTTCTCAGGGTGGAACACATAGTGACCACAGAAAGAGCAGAGGGCAGCAAGAATAAAATAATTGCAAGGAGACCACTGCTGGCCACCTGTTGCCCACTTTTTTTCCAGAGACCAGACAGTGAACAAAGGATGTTGAGGCCATAGAAGAATAAAACTCTGTGTCTTCAGTTCTGTCCATACTCTTGACCTCCAGTGTTTAGATATGTAGAAAATAGATGAAAGGCAAACTTACTTTGCTATTTGGCCTTGGCCCTAATGGTCAAGCTGTGGTAATCTGTTTTCATCTGTAGTGTGGGGGACTATGTGAGTATAAACGCCAATCACACGCGTAGATGTCTACCTGTATTCTGCGTTACTCAATGTTCTCTTACAAAACATCCAACTTTAATTCAGGGGAAAAAATCAGTACCTAGAGGATGTCCATTGTTAGAAGGTAACTGGTAATCGATCTTTCGTTGAATCCTGGCATCTTTTCTGCACTGGGTGCATGTATTAGCTAGCTATTGCAGCATAACAAATCATCCAAAACTTATTAGTTCATAATTGAGATGGTCAGCCATTCAGGCTGGGCTGAGTGGGGCCATTTTTCTGGTCTCAGCTGAGCTCCTTGAGACATGTATCATCAACTGCTTGTTGACTAGCCAGCTGTGCTTCTGGGGGTAATCTGCTTCTGGGGCTGTCAACAGGCCACCTTGCTGCTTCTCCCCATGGTATCTTATTTTCCAGCTGGATAATATGGGCTTTATTCATGAAGATGGCAGCATTCTGAAAGAAAAACAGAAGCATTCAAGACCATTTGAGCCTAGACCTTAAACTAGCCCACTGTCATGTTCATCATTTTCTCCTGCCCTACGCAAATAAGGCCAGCCAGATCTAGGGTTTGGAAAACAGATTCTGGATCTTGATCAAAACAGCTTTAAAGGCACCCAGCAATGGCATGGATACAAGAGTGATAAAAAATTGTGACCATTTTGCAATCAGTATTATTCTACCTGTTTTCCATAAGTGGTTCATAGAACTCTTCCACTTCAGGAAACTTGTGCAAAGACCCACAGATACTAAGTGGCTGGGCTGAGACTCAGGATTAACTCTGTCTGACTCCAAAGCCCATGCACCTCCATACATAACACTACTAAAGTAGCTGCCCTGCCCTGACCCTTGAAATCCTGGAGAGTGATATTTCTACAGAAGAAGCCAGATTCCTTTCAGATTTGTGTTCCTATAGTACTGTTTATCATTGAAAATAATCATCTCAAGAAATTGCAGAAACACAAGCTGGCTCACATCTGTATTTATAGCACTTTGGTAGGCTGAGATGGGAGAATTAGGTAAGATCAGGAGTTCCAGTGCAGCCTGGGTAACATAAAATGCTGTTTCCATGAAAAATAAATAAACAGCCAGCCATGGTGGTGCATGCCTATAGTCCAAGCTACTTAGGTGGCAGAGGTAGGAGGATTGTTTGAGCTTGAAAGGTCAAGCCTGCAGTGAGCCCTGATTCTTTACACCACTGCAATCAAGGCTGGATAATGCAGTGAGACCCTGTCTCAACAAAAGAAAAGAAATTGAAGAAGAATTTTTTAAAGATATAGAATAATAGCTGAGGGATGAGTTTAAAAAAGTCGAGGCCCAACAACACATTATTTATTTTTCATCATAGAAAATAATTTGAGGCTGGGCGTGGTGGCTCATGCCTGTAATCCCGGCACTTTGGGAGGCCGAGGCGGGCGGATTATGAGGTCAAGAGATTGAGACCATCCTGGCCATGGTGAAACCCTGTCTCTAGTACAAAAATACAAAAATTAGCCGGGCGTGGTGGCACATGCCTGTGGTCCCAGCTACTCGGGAGGCTGAGGCGGAAGAATCGTTTGAACCTGGGACACAAAGGTTGCAGTGAGCCGAGACTGCGCCACTGCACTCCAGCCTGGCGACAGAGCAAGACTCAGTCTCAAAAAAGAAAAGAAAAGAATTTGAAAACTTTTAAAAGAAAAAACTTCTTTTTTTTTCCCCCCAAGATGGAATCTTGCTCTGTTGCCCAGGCTGGAGTGCTGCAGCCTGATCTCGACTCACTGAAACCTCTGCCTCCCAGGTTTCAGCAATTCTCCTGCCTCAGCCTCCAGCACAGCAGCTGGGATTACATGCCTGGTTGTTTTTCTTTTTTTTTTTTTTGTTTGTTTTTGTATTTTTGGTAGAGACAGGGTTTTACCATACAGGCCAGGCTGGTCTTGAGCTCCTGACCTTATGATCCACCTGCCTCAGCCTCCCCAAATGCTGGGATTACAGGCATGAACCAAGGTGCTCAAAATGTTTTTTTTTTTTTTAAGCCCTTTAAAAAAATAATGGAGTCGGGCACAGTGGCATGTGCCTGTAGTCCCAGCTACTCAGGAGGCTGAGGTGGGAGGATCTCTTGAGCCCAGGAGTTCTGGGCTGTAGTACACTATGCCGATCGGGTGTCCGCACTAAGTTTGGCATCAATATGGTGACTTCCCGGGAGCGGGGGACCATCAGGTTGCCTAAGGAGAAGTGAATCGGCCCAGGTAGAAAATGGAGCAGGTCAAAACTCCCGTGCTGATCAGTAGTGGGATCACGCCTGTGAATAGCCACTGCACTCCAGCCTGGACAACATAGTGAGACCCTGTCTCTAAAAATAATAATAATAACAATAATAATGGGAACGTGTCAAAGGGATGAATTCTAATGTTGTTGTTATCTGTTTTCTCGAGTACACAGGAGTGCAGTCACCACTCAAGAAAGCAGACAAAAACAATATTAGTTGTTACTCAAAAACAAAAAAAGTTTTCTCATGCGAAAAGTCAGATGTTATATCAGTAGTTAAAGGCTATTAGAAAATATGTTTTGTGCCGGGCACGGTGGCTCACGCCTGTAATCCCAGCACTTTGGGAGGCCGAGACGGGTGGATCACGAGGTCAAGAGATCGAGACCATCCTGGTCAACATGGTGAAACCCCGTCTCTACTAAAAATACAAAACATTAGCTGGGCATGGTGGTGCATGCCTGCAATCCCAGCTACTCAGGAGGCTGAGGCAGGAGAATTGCCTGAACCCAGGAGGCGGAGGCTGCGGTGAGCCGAGATCATGCCATTGCACTCCAGCCTGGGTAACAAGAGCGAAACTCCATCTCAAAAAAAAAAAAAAAAGAAAATATGTTTTGCTCATGGAACATTTCTGAAAAAGTCTCCAATAATATACTTATTTCACTAGACAAGTTATAAAACTGTTAAATACAGTATTACAGATGTGGTAGTTTTTGTTGTTGTTGTTGAAATGGAGTTTTACTCGGTCGCCCAGGCTGCAGTACAGTGGCACAGTCTCAACTCACCACAACCCCACATCCCAGGTTCAAGCCATTCTCCTGTCGCAGCCTCCCGAGTAGCTGAGATTACAGGCACCTGCCACCACACCCAACTAATTTTTGTATTTTTAGTAGAGACGAGGTTTTACCATGTTGGCCTTGAACTCCTGACCTCAGGTTATCCACCTGCCTTGGCATCTCAAAGGATTACAGGAGTGAGCCACCACACCTAGCTGAGATCCAGTAGTATTAAGCAAAGGTAACGAAATTGACTGGATTTCTTTTGTAATTGAGATTGATGACAATCAGATTCACTGAGAGTAAAAAAAAAATTCTTGACTATTACATTGTTACAATCAAGTCATTGGATGACTTTTGCACCTGATAATGGAACCTCACATATCTTCTGCTACTAAAGTCTAATGTGATTAAGTGCAGCAAAGCTTCGGTGCATTATGGCAAAGCATATTTTTACCAGGTAAAGAATATATATATATTTTTTTAAGACGGGGTTTCACCATGTTGGTCAGGCTGGTCTTGAACTCCCGACCTCAGGTGATCCACCGGCCTTTGCCTCCAAAGTGCTTGGATTACATGCGTGAGCCACCATGCCCAACCAGGTAAAGAATATTTTTAATGGTCTACTGACTGAGGACAGTAAAGCCCTTTATAATCTATAATCCAGAGATTGAGTTGGCTTGCCATCTACACTGCAGCAAGACTTCAGGACCTTGAACCTTGGGCTGATAATCTCACCACTCAGAAGGGCCCCTTCAAACATTTGCAATTGTACACCCATTGCAGATCTTAAGGTGAGGCTAATCAGTAAAGTTTCTTCTCATAAGCAGATAGCAACATTGATATAGTTTGTTTTTGTTCTTTTGTTTTTTTGAGACAGAGTCTTGCTCTGTCACCCAGACTGAAGTGCAGTGGCATGGTCATGGCTCACTGCAACCTCCTCCTCCCAGGTTCAAGGGATTCTTCTGCCTCAGCCTCCTGAGTAGCTGGGACTACAGGTGCACGTAACTACACCCAGGTAATATAATATTTGTGTGTGTGTGTATATATATATATATATAT